CCAGGACTGAAACTGGTTTAGTCCTGTTTTAGTCTTGTTTTAATCCTGGTTCAGTCCTGGTTTAGTCCTGGTTTAGTCCTGGTTTAGTCCTGGTTTAGTCCTGGTTTAGTCCTGGTTTAGTTCTGGTTTAGTCCTGGTTCAGTCCTGGTTTAGTTCTGGTTTAGTCCTGGTTCAGTCCTGGTTTAGTTCTGGTTTAGTCCTGGTTCAGTCCTGGTTTAGTCCTGGTTCAGTCCTGGTTTAGTCCTGGTTTTAGTCCTGGTTTAGTTCTGGTTTAGTTCTGGTTTAGTCCTGGTTCAGTCCTGGTTTAGTCCTGGTTTAGTTCTGGTTTAGTCCTGGTTCAGTCCTGGTTTAGTCCTGGTTTAGTCCTGGTTCAGTCCTGGTTTAGTCCTGGTTCAGTCCTGGTTTAGTCCTGGTTTAGTTCTGGTTTAGTCCTGGTTTAGTCCTGGTTTAGTCCTGGTTTCAGTCCTGGTTTAGTTCTGGTTTAGTCCTGGTTCAGTCCTGGTTTAGTCCTGGTTTAGTTCTGGTTTAGTCCTGGTTTAGTCCTGGTTTAGTCCTGGTTCAGTCCTGGTTCAGTCCTGGTTTAGTTCTGGTTTAGTCCTGGTTTAGTCCTGGTTCAGTCCTGGTTTAGTCCTGGTTTAGTTCTGGTTTAGTCCTGGTTTAGTCCTGGTTTAGTCCTGGTTCAGTCCTGGTTTAGTTCTGGTTTTAGTCCTGGTTCAGTCCTGGTTAGTCCTGGTTTAGTTCTGGTTTAGTCCTGGTTCAGTCCTGGTTCAGTCCTGGTTTAGTCCTGGTTTAGTTCTGGTTCAGTCTTGGTTTAGTTCTGGTTTAGTTCTGGTTTAGTCCTGGTTCAGTCCTGGTTCAGTCCGGCATCGCAGTTTAAGTCACGTAAACAGGAAACGGTCCTTATCTTTTTTTTCCATTTTTCATTTAAACACAAAATCAAAAACTGAAAAAACAAATCATTATCTGTTTTTTCATTTTGGTTTTGGAGACAAATAATCATTGTTTTTTTTAAATGTTCTTATTTTTGGTTTTATTTTGAAAAACAAATGAACGAACGATACACAGATTCATCAAGTTTAGTTTAGTTCCATTTTCTGTCTTTTGAGTTTAGTCGCTCGATTCTGTTTGTACATTTGTGGTTTTGTTGTGTGTCCCTTAGTTTAAAAATAAATAAATAATAAATAAATAAATGAATAAATAATAATAATAATAATAGTACACTGAAATTAAATAATACATAAAAATAAATAAATAAATAAAGATAAGTTGATTGCCATATTGTAGTCAAAGCTTTCCCACCAGAAAAGTTACACAGTGCATCTTTAGCTTTTTGATAATATTAGATCTATTCCACTTCTCAAAACCAGTCGAAAAGAAAACAGTAAAAAAAAGATCACACTGCAAAAAGAAACAACTCTTCACAATCTTAATCCTGAGTAGTTTTGACTCTTGATTTCACGTTTGAGGTTTAGAATGTTTTAAGTTTAACAGTGTAAAAAAGTCACAGTTTATTTGAGTCACATTTACGATTCACCTTTGGGCGCTTTGTCCCACCCTAAATATATATTGTGCGTTTATCCGCCGTTTCATCACATTTTGAAAACAAGAAAAAACTATAATAACAATTTAACGAAAGGTCTTATCTTACACAAAACTGATTCTTGTGAAGCTTTAAGTTGTGTTAAAATGTTGTTGCCTCTTCAAAAACAGACCTGGAGTTGGGTTTGTTTCATTCACAAGTTTGAGTGACTCTTTATTCTTAGTTTGTCTGCATCTCTAAAGCTCTAATCAGACATGTCAAACTCAGGCCCAGGGGCCAAATTTGGCCCATGATATAATTATATTTGGCCCTGAAGATCTTATCAAATCTGTATTAAAGCTGCCCGCTGGCTACAGATCGACTATAGAGACATTATTTATTTAAAATGTTGTTATTATTTTATATTCTGCTTGTTCTGGATTCAGTGTTTAAGCAAAACTATTATTAAACATTTATTTGAATAAGAAAAGGTTTAACATTACATATCTCAAAAGAAGAGAAAACATGCAGATGTTGTTGAAATTTTTCAGTAAATATTCAGTTTGGCCCACGACTTAATCCCAGTTTTGTTTTGTTTTTTAATTTTGGCCCAATGTGAATTTGAGTTTGACACTCCTGCTCTAAATGCTCTGTTCCACTTTGTGATGTCATGAAGTGGTAGTTTTCATGTTAACAGCTCTTTTTACCTTTTGTTTAGTAGAGTTCGGGAATTCCAGGTCGAAAATGATCCAAATGAAGGTTTGTAGAGTGTATTTTATTTGACACCTGCTATCTTTTTTTGTTACTTATTTAGAATTTACTATTTTACCATTTATATTTTTTACTCTTTGTTATATAATATTTTGTGATGTGTGAGCTACTGTGTCCAAATCAATTCCCTTGTGGATCAATAAAGTTAAAGCCGCACGATAAGCAGAGTCGGTAAATGCCTCTATTTTACTGGAAAAAAAAAAAGAGATAGAAAAGGCACAATTACAACAACAAACACTGAGATGCAGATTCGCACGGCACGAGTTTTATCTCCGGACGTCTGTTTGGTGAAATATCGTAGGTAATTTGCGGCAGAATTTTTACTTCACAAATTACAGACATTCGGACGGGATTAAGATCTCAGACGTCCTCAAATCACCAAAGATCCACTGGTCAAACTAATCCTGTACGAACAGGGCTTTAAGTCTTATGAACACAGTGGAGCACTTCCTGTATCACCGCATGACATCACAAGGTGGAACAGTGTGTCTTCAGTTTGAGAGAAGAACTCAGAAGTCTAAATGTGCAGGTTTGTGTGTTAAACATGTGTGAATGAAACAAAAACACGACTCCAGGTCTGTTTGTGACGAGGAAACAACATTAGACCACAGATCAGGAAATAGCAGGATATCGTCGCTTTAAATGAGTCAAAACTACTCGTGATTTTACCAACGCACTTTTGGTGGGTCTTGAGATGCTTTTACTTTGTTTAAAATGTTCCACAGTATCTCATGAAATGTATCTATCTCCATGGAAACAAGCCATCAGACCGAGTTACAGGTCAGATCTGCGGAGAAGCAAACCCACTCATAGTCAGAACGTTTGTTTTTTGTTGCATTTTTGAGCAGTAAAATGGATTTCAGATACAAGAATAATGAACCAGATCAGGTTTGCGGAGAGGCGAGCGCGCTCACAGCACTTCTGAGGAGTGAAAAAGTGACCTGATGCATGAATGGCTAACTAGATCAAGCCAGGTTACACATCAGATCTGCGAAGAGGCGAACACACTCACAGTAATAATGCCTGTTTTTCGCTGTATTTTTGAGCAGTAAAATAGAGATCGGATACAAAAATAGTGAACTAGATCGGGACTGCGGAGAGGCGAGCGCGCTCACAGCACTTCTGAGGAGTGAAAAAGTGACCTGATGCATGAATGGCTAACTAGATCAAGCCAAGTTACACGTCAGATCTGCGTAGAGGCGACCTCACTCACAGTCGGAATGTTTGTTTTTTGTTGCATTTTTGAGCCGTAAAATAGATTTCGGATACGAGAATGGTGAACTAGATCGGGTCTGCGGAGAGGCGAGCACGCTCACAGCACTTCTGAGGAGTGAAAAAGTGACCTGATGCATGAATGGCTAACTAGACCAGGCCAGGTTCCACGTCAGATCTGCGGACAGGCGACCCTACTCACGGTCAGAATGCTTGTTTTTTTTTGTGTGTTTTTGAGCTGCGTTTTGATAAATTTGAGATAGAAAAGTTTAACGCGACACTGTGGAACATTCTAGGCCAAGCAATCACACCTAAACGGACAGAACCCCCTCCAGAAAATTCCCGTAGTGCGTCTTTACCTTTTTGCAGCATAAACAGAAGACGTGGATGTTTGTTTTGGTCCAAGGCAGTGCGCGTCTGTCACAGTGATGCATAGAAAAGCTAATAATGTCTCTAAACTACCGTCGTTTAACTCAAAGGAAGCAAAGGCCACGAAGCAAGACACCTGGACCCGGGGAGAGACACGCAACTTCAGTCCGATTCCGTGAGTTTTAACGCCACAACGAAAGCCACGTGTGCACCCTGATCGCCCTAAACAACTCCTCGATTAAAGGTCCCGTATTACGCAGTTTTAGGCTGAATGAACTCAAGTGTTTGTGGATAGAAAAAAGGTGAACGGGCTTTAAAAACACAGAGGAGCAGATCTGTGATTACCACCCGATGATGTCACGAGGTGGAACTGAGTGTTTTCTGTTGTCTGGAGAGGGAAATACATTCAGTACACTAATAATTTGCATCGACATTTAAGAGGAAGGGAAGTGCATTTTTATATTTGTATATTTGAGTGATTTAACTTTTTTTTTTTGTATTTTTGTCATGAATTTGTAAATGCAACAATTTTTTTTATGTTATAGTGATTTTTAGAATTTTTATTTTCCCTTTCGTGGAATTTTTTAATACATTTTTTTCAACAAAATGTATTGTTTAAAGGGGAATTGTGAACCTTTTCAATCTGTGAGTCATTCGTTCATTCGATTTTCAAAATAAAACAAAAAAAAAAATAAGAAAACAAAACAAAACAAAAAAAATATTTTCTTTATTATTTGTCTCCAAAACCAAAATGTAAAAACAGATAGATTAGTTTTTTCAGTTTTTGTGTTTAAATGAATAACGGAGAAAAAAAAAGGATAACGGACTGAACCAGGACTAAAACAGGATTAAAACAGGTCCAGAATTGAACCAGGACTAAACCAGTTCTAAACCAGGTCTAAACCAGTACTCAGTCCTGGTCTCAGTACCGGTCTGGTCCCGGTCTGAGTCTCGGTCTGAGTCCCGGTTTCCTGATCACCTCCCGGCCAGTCTCAACACTCCTGGTTCAGTCCTAGTTTAGTCCTGATTCATTCCTGTTTTAGTCCTGGTTTAGTCCTGTTCAGTCCTGGTTCAGTCCAGGTTTAGTCCTGATTCAATCCATTATCCATTTTTTTTCCATTTTTCATTTAAACACAAAACCTAAAACTGAAAAAACAAATCATTATCTGTTTTTTTTTTTTCATTTTGGTTTTGGAGACAAATAATGAAGAAAATAGTTGTTTTTTAGTTTTAGTATTTTTGGTTTTATTTTGATAAACGAATGAACAAATGACACACAGATTTTTTTCTAGTGGAAGTCCGCCAAACACTTTTCTCCGTGGAGATGTTATTGCTTTGTCCGGAATGTTTCGCAGTATGGCATTAAACCTTTCTCTCATCTTCACGGAGACCAAACCAGACCAAGTTACAGGTCAGATCTGTGGAGAGGCGACGCCGCTCACAGTCAAAATGTCTGTTTTTCTAGGGATTTTTGAGCTATAAAACCACCTGTAATTGAATAAATGTAAAGTAGAGCTGTTTAATGTGGAACATTCCAGACAAAGCAATGACATCTCCATGGAAACAAGAACGTGACTCCCAACCGAAAAGTTACACAGTGCACCTTTAAAGACGCTGTACCAGATTTTCTCTGTCTTAAAAACACAAAAAAGACTTCACTCATTTTAAACGTTTTTGCAGCGGTGCAAGGTTACTGTCCTTATTATACGTAATACTAACAACTATTAGCATGCCAACAGAGCATCAGTGTTACTTCCTGGTTCGCGGACAATAAAAACACTTGATAATCAGATGCAGACAGGGCAGAGCTGCTGTTACAATAGATCTGTACTAAGGCGAAAAAATGTCTACAGCATTTTATTATTATTATATGGTAATAAAATAAATTTAAATAAATTAAATAAATATAAAATAAATTTAAATAAAATATAATAAATAAATACATGCATAAATAAAATAAATACATAAATAAATACATAAATAATAAAATGAAATAAATAATAAAAATGTAATAAACATTCACGTCTATAGAGGTAGAAATATGACATCATGACTCTTCAGGATTTTGTGGTGTAATTTTGTGAACGCAACTTTTAACTTTAGAAAATAAATCGAACAAAACACAAAACAGAACTTCTGCTGTGTTTTTGTTAAAGGGACGACGTTAGCTTATAGCATGGTAGCGCATTCAAAAAGTATATTTAGCATAACGTAGGGATGTAACGATACCCAAACACGATTTTTTCACAATACGCATCTCAAGGAACAATATTTATTGCGATATTTTGCACTTTTGAGGCTATTAAAATGGTATATATACTAGTTATACCTTTAAAAATGCCTTTAAACGTGCTTAAAAAAGTGATTTCATTGTGTAGATTGGACTGAAACAGAGCAAAGGATCATGGGCTTTGTAGTTCCCTCTGTTTCTTTTAGCTCTTCCTGCACCATAACAAAGAATGTAAAAGGTGTATAATGAATTTTGACTTAATTTGGTGGGTTAATACTTGTTGTAAATATAAATTATATTTTTAGACAAATCAAGAATCAACTTGTGAAGAAAATTAAAGATATGTTGAAAACTACAGGAAGTAGAACGTCCCATATTGATGGCATCACACTGGGAGAATTCTGTCCAAAAGTATGAAACACAATTTTTCTGATACTTTTAAACTTTATTTCAATAATGTAAAGGTGTTTTTTTTATATTTTTATTTGTCAAATATTAATTTCTGTGACATTAGAGGAGTTTTGCTTGGTAAAAGTTGTGGAATTTTCCAGCGTGACGTCAAGATTTCCAACTACAATGTCAAATTTTAAACCTAAAAAATGACCAAATTGGGAAAAGAAAAGTCAAGTCTTTAGAAAAATCTCAAATAGAACTATCTTAACTCTGTTTTAGTGAAATGAGCTGTCCAACTTCGATAAATTGTGATGGCCCACGGTATTATTTTGAGATTTTTGACGATACTTTTGACGATATTTCGGTTACTGTTACATCCCTGGCGTAATACGAGACCTTTAACCTTTTGCCCTTCCTCTCCCTGTTTTCCCACGTGGAGTTGCTGTGTTTTATCCGTGCAGCGCGCAGAAGTCGAAGTCCTTGAACGCCTCCTGCTGCTCCGGAGTGAGCGCCGTGGGGGACGAGGGCGGGGACAGCTCGGGCCTCAGAGCCGTGAAGTCGCTGTCGAAGTTACTCACATCCAGAGACGCCTTAATCACCGGGAGGAAGGGCGGAGGCAGCTTCTTCGACAGCAGAGCGTCCCAGTCGATGCTCTGAAACACAGCAGGGAGAGAGAGAGTTCAGACTGCAGGACTTAACGCTCAATTCAGATTTTTTTGTGAAATCCGATTTTTTTGCGAGGTCGGTCACATTTCCAGTTAAATGTGACTTGTGTGTGATCTCCAGAGTGAACTTTAAATGCCTCAAAAGTGTCCTGCAGGAGCATTGGAGGACACATCGACATCACACACAGCGAGCGAGCTCAGTGTTTATGGAAGTCGCCTAAACTCTGGGCTTGCCTCCCAAAATCCGGTCCAGTTCTTGGTAAAATGAACAGGTTACATGTCCACAGCTGTTTTATTTGTTTGAGTCTTTAGCCTCCTTGTGTTTGGCTCACAGGCTCTTTATTTTTCGTTGACATTGGAGCCAGGACCGTCTGTAGCCGCGCTTGGACATTTTTTTGGAAATCATTTCAAAAAACGCCCGGTTCTGATAAGACCCCTCCAGTTTTACCTGAATACAGCGATCCCCCCAAATATTAATAAACTCGCTAACCTCGCTTTCCCTCCATTGACGAGACTCTGAGCCTGACGTGTAGGTGGGATGAATGTGACCTGACCGTTCAGACTGAAGTCACATGTCAAAAGATCAGATATGTATCGGATTTAGGAGCAGCAGTTCAAACCCAACGTTTCCAAACACTTTTGTACAAGTGACACTGAAGCAGATTATTCATTAAAATCTTCTACATAAACAAACTTTACAACATATAAACCATAATGACTCTAGAGCCACATCAGCCTGTTTGAGATTATAATGTGTTTAATGCAGCTCTGACACATTTGTTTACATTTTACAGAAATGAAACTTAAAACCACATGACTCATTTGCATAAACTATAAGTGCTGATAAAAACAGCTCGCTCCTTGTGCGCTGATGTGGTTCAGCTTCTGTCGGACTCAAGGACACAACTCAGTGGAATATGAGTGTTCTCTCTGTGACAGAGGATGTGCTGCTGATGGTGAGTCTGTAAATGGTGGAAAAGGTTTGTGGTGCTTTCTGCATTCACAGCAACAGAGAGCAGTGAATGAGACGACACGCAAGGGGAGCGGTCACAAAATCAAGGAGGCAAACAAGCAAAGCGGCGGAATCACAATTAAAATAAGCATTATATCCAACAATGGGAAATGGAAATGAATGTGACTTTGGATGATGATACCTGGGAGGGTGTTTGTTCTGGTTGTCATAAAGGGCTGGGAAGTCAGATTTGGAAGGAGTTTGACTGGAAGGTCAAATTAAGATTTTTTAGAACCCCGCTCAAAACTTTTATTTCAAAATGTAGTGTTAGTGATAAATGTTGGAGGAGGTGTGGACTTGTGGGCGACCAGACTCACATATTTTGGGACTGCCCCAATATAAAAGGTTTTTGGATTAATGTTAAAGATGTTCTACAAAATATATTGGCTGTGGACCTGTTGATGGACCCAAAGGTATTTCTGTTTGACATATTCCCTGACGGTCTCTCTCATGATCAGAGCTTTCTGCTGCATCTTCTTCTGTTGACTGCAAGAAAAATGATCACGATCTACTGGCTGAAACCTGAAATACCGACCGTTGAACAGTGGAGATCAAAAATCAGACAAGTTTATACAATGGAACTGTTAACGGCTCAACTACAGCTCAAGGTGGCAGCTTTTGAAAAGAAATGGAGCCCAATTACTGACTTTTTGAAATAAGACACGTATGCCCTAATATGCCCTATTCTTTATGTTTTGGTTTTAATTTTTTTAATTTGTTTTTGCAAATTTTAGGTTTTTTTTCTCTCTTTCTTCTTCTAGAGGGGGGAGTGGGGAGAGAGATGGGGCAAAAAAGTGAATATATAAACTGTGAGAAGGCCCGGTCTCAGGACAGTGTTGATATGATTTGATTTGTGGCAATAAAAGTTCAAAAAAAAAAAAAAAGCATTATATCGATATCTACAATATGTCAGAATCCATTTCTTGTTTAAAAAATGTCTTGATATGTTTAAAATATTGAGATATCACCTAAACCTAGACTCTACTTTACTCTACTACTACTAAAGTCGGGCAGAATTTGGGCCTTTAAGTTTTACCTCAAAGAACTTCTCTCCCTTGATCTCGTTGGCGTCTCTTTCTCCAGAGCCGAGTCTCTTTAAAGGGTTTCTCTTCAGCAGCTGCAAAACACAACAACATTTAAACATGCATCGTCCACCTGCTGTTGTCTCCGCGGGGATAGAGAAGTGTCTCCTGTAACAGGCTGGACCAATTATCTGACTAAAACAATGTTAAGAACATTATATTTAAGATTTGAAAAATAAAATACAATGTCTTTCCCAGTTTGGCAATTTTTAGGTTTAAAATTTAACTTCCTGTTAGTAACCATTAGTAAACTAGGCCAAAACTCCTTATTATTTGACCAATAAAATTATTTAAAAAAACACTTGGAACTCTGTACTTCCTGTAATTTTCAACATATTTGTCGACTTTTCTTCACAAACTGTTTCTTGATTAGAGAATTAGAGATTTGTCAGAAGCTTAAATGTGATGTAGTGGAACATTACAGACAAAATAAAATGAAAATCCGTGTTACCTTTTGCAGAGTGGCCACAGCGGTCGGTGGAATACAGGATGGGTACTGGATGTCATCGTTTACAATACTGTCAAACACCTCCTCCTCATCCTCACCGGGGAACGGAGACTGAAAATACAACAGAAACAGAGTCAGGCAAGTTACTGTACATTTTGGACTATAAGTCGCTCCAAAGTATAAGTCACATCAGCCAAAAAAATGCGTAATGAAGAAGAACCTTTTGGGGGAAATGTATTTTATAAAATCAGAGAGCAGGAGCAGACATTTCCTGTGTAAAGTCAAGTTGTAGTAAAAACAATAGAACAGAGAACAACAGACATATTTCACAGTTCTTCAGATAAACTATAACATAAACAACAGAACAGAACAAGTTTAACCAAACTCTCCATCTCACTCCAAATCACTAAATCACTTCAATTCTTCATCCTCGGTGTCACTTCTGAACAACTCGGCCTCAACCTCCGGAGGTAAACAGAGCGACGCAAACTCTTCTGTGTCGCTGTCGTCAGACTCAGCATCAGTTCCAGTTAGTCCATCCATCCAGTGACTTCAGGAAAGTTTCATGGTTCATCCTCCCGGTGTCACAAGTTTCTCTCTCAAACCAAATTTTCTTTCTGCTGCTCGATTTCCGTTTTCAGCTGCAGATTTCACGACTTGCAGTTTGTAATCTGCAGAATCTGATTTTGTTTTTGGGAGCATTTGTGTTCAGTCTTCTCAGTCTTTGTCTTTATACAGAAGTAATGGCTGCTAATATGTCACATAGATACAGATCAATGGGCCGAGCTCCACTCCATTTTCTTCCGCTTATCCGGGGCTGGGTCGCGGGGGCAACAGTCTGAGCAGGGACTCCCAGACTTCCCTCTCCACACAAACTTCCTCCAGCTCCTCCAGGGGGATCCCGAGGTGTTCCCAGGCCAGCCCAGAGACATAGTCCCTCCAGCGTGTCCTGGGTCTTCCCCAGGACCTCCTCCCGGTGGGACATGCCTGGAACACCTCCCAAGGGCGACGCTCAGGAGGCATCCGGAACAGATGCCCGAGCCTCAACTGGCTCCTCTCAATGTGGAGGAGCAGCGGCTCTACTCCGAGCTCCTCCCATGTGACTGAGCTCCTCACCCTATCTGTAAGGGAGCGCCCAGACACCCTGCGGAGGAAACTCATTTCGAGCGCTTGTATCTGCGATCTCGTCCTTTCGGACATTACCCAGAGCTCATGATCATAGGTGAGGGTAGGAAGTAGATTGATGATAAATCGAGAGCTTCGCCTTTTCACTCAGCTCCCTCTTCACGACAACGGTCCGATACAGTGATACGGTCGCTGTATCGGACTGTTGTGGTGAATAGGAGAAACTGTAAACAAGTAGGTGTGTCAGTTTCAGAGTAGTTTCAGTGTAGTTAGCTCCTCCCTTCAGGCAGATATAAGGAAGAGTCCGCCAACATTTTGACCAGAACTGAAAAAGCAGCCTGGATGAGCTGCGAAACGTCTTTGACCAAAATAAACTTTTGTCCAGTTGACAAATTGAATTTCTCCTTTGCCATGGACTGTACCTGGACGACAGAGGGATTTGACACACATCTGGAATGAAGTGGTGGGGTTTTTGTTTTTCTTCATACAAATTCACTAAAATCACCACAAGATCAGCAGCGGTGAAACGTCTGATCAGATCAAAAGGCAAGGCAAGTTTATTTGTAAATCACAATTCGTCAACAAAGTAATTCAAAGTGCCTCACAGAATAAGAAACACTTTAAAATCACAACACAAACAAATCAAAACATAAATAATCATCACAAAACTACAATGAGAGAGAGAGACATTAAATTAGAGAGAAGAGTGTGGAATGAAAAATGAAAACCTTTGAGAACAGAAACATAACGTCACTGTGAATCACGTCAAATGTTTTATGAAAGGAGAATTTGGCTGCGATTGGAGTGACTCGACTTTTCTCCTTTGCAACTTCAATCCAGGTTAAAAATGCACTCTAATGCAGTTTACTGACATTTGTACCAAGTAAAATATTACCAAATTATTTTCTATAATGCCTTACATTACTGTGTTACAGCAAAAAGCAACGCATTATAGTAATTCTTTACTTTTGTTACGCGTTACTCTCAACACTGAACACAAGAACATGAAGAGAACAGATGGTGTGATGTGAAAATTAAGGGAGAAAAGAGAAAAGAGAAGCAGTTGTCACCTCTCCCACCAGCATCTCAAATATGAGCACTCCCAGCCCCCACCAGTCCACGGCCCTGGTGTAGTTATCGTCCGTGAGAACCTCCGGGGCCAAGAACTCGGGAGTGCCACAGAACGTAGAGGTGCGATCCCCGTGACCCATCCCTGCCAAAACACACGACGTAAATACACAACGTCCTCTGTTTAGACTTAATATATTCTAATAACAAAGTTTCTAATAACACATTCTGAATAAGTAGCAAAAATAGAGAGATACTACGAAAGCCCTGAGCAGCAAGCGGAAAAAAAAAGAAAAAAGAAAAGAAAGGTGCTCTATTTGGGCTCTAATTTCTAAGATTTTTATTTATTTATTTATTTTTTTAATCTGTTGCTGCAAAGAATTAAAGACAAAAATATCTTACCTAATCATACAAAATAAAGCCCAATTTTTTTTTTTTTTCCGTTTGCCGCTTAGGGCTTCCGTAAAAGACTGGTGTCAAATACGGCATAATTATATAAATGTATATGTACAAATCAAAATAAAATACAATAGAAATAAGTCATAAAAATATCTCAGTTATGTATAAAGAAAATAATAATAATAATAATAATAATAATAATAATAATAAATGAAACATTATATATATATATATATATATATATATATATATATATATATATATATATATATTATATATTATATATATAAATATTTTATTTTATTTTATTTTTATTTTTCTCTGTAAGTGATGCTGAGGGATGTTTACTTTGTTGTGTTTATTTATTTTTATAAAAAACAAAATAAATAAATAAAAATATACTCTTACAGTGCTCAGAGTGTATTGCTCAAAAACAACAGTTTGTAAAACCAGAAGCTCTGACTGAACGTTAGACCCTGGGGTTTAACCTGATGAATATTTTTAAAAGTTAAAGATGAGATCACCTTCTTTACAGAGCCCAAAGTCGGTCATCTTGACGTATCCATCTCTGTCCAGCAGGATGTTGTCCAGTTTCAGGTCTCTGTGGGTCAAACAGCTCTGTGATTGGTCGGTTTTAGTCACATGACCTCACACTGGTCTGTAAATAAACTCACCTGTAGATGATTTTGTTCTGATGGAGGAACTCGAGGGCCAAAACCACACAGGCCGAGTAAAACCTGGAACACATGTCCACCTTTAACTCAGTGCATAGTTTCAATACTAATGTACAATACTTATGTTTCTATTTTGGTAACTGTACTTTGAGGGAACAATACAATAATCAGAAATAATGGACAGAATTGAGATCTTTCTCTCAAAGCACTACGGTCTAAGAATTTAACCATTTTTAGAACAAAATCTGTTTGTTATCTCATTGTAGAAGATGTGAGTCATTCATAAAACTGGTATAAACTTGGACATCTGAACATCTAAACCAGGTCCAAACCAGGACTAAACCAGGACTAAACCAGGACTAAACCAGGTCCAAACCAGGACTAAACCAGGACTAAACCAGGACTAAACCAGGACTAAACCAGGTCTAAACCAGGTGTGTACCTGGTTTAGATGAGTACCTGGTGTGTTCCTCTGTGAAGGGGTCTGGGCATGTACCTGGTCTGGGTCTGTATCTAGTCTGGATGAGTACCTGGCATGGGTCTGTACCTGGTCTGGGTGTGTACTACTGCAAACGATATTTGATATAATATCGAATCGTTCGATACAGGTCTCAACATTCGATACACGTGGATATGCACGTGGTTCCTCCATGCCCACTGTGTTGTCATTTATTTTGGTCCAAAAAGGGAACATTTCTCTTGGCGTCCTCCTCAGATGCAGCAGAAAACGTCTCCACAGGGACTTACATCTGAAATATTCTAACAGAGGAGGGTTTTATCTTTCACTCACTTTTTATTTTACGTTGATGGACTCGGGAATGACAAAAACATGAACTTTTAAATAATTTAGAATCACTTTTGGCTTTACATCGGCGCAGTGTGTCACAGACTGGAGGGGGCAGTGTGGGAGGAGCTACAGTATAACAGTATAAACTCTGTTCTTATTTTCACTGAATAAACATTCTGTGAAGCATTGAACCAAATGAAGTAAAACACTTCACATATAAACTACAACTGTACAGTAGTTGTACTGTTATGTGTTGGATGTAATGTTTAATGTTCGTAATGTTTCATTAACATCAAAGTGTTATTATATTAAACTCATTAGCAACAAACAGAACATGAGGTTTTGGGGGTTTTTTTGCGTCTTAAAACATATTGAATCAATACTGTGACCCGTGTATTGATACGTATTGAATCATAGGAAAACTGTATCGCTGCATCCCTAGTGCGCACCTGGTCTGGGTCTGTACCTGGTCTGAGTCTGGGTCTTTACCTGGTCTGAGTCTGGGTCTGGGTCTGGTCTGGGTCTGGTCTGAGTCTGGTCTGGGTCTGGTCTGGGTCTGGTCAGGATCTGGGACTAGTCTTGGTCTGTACCTGGTCTGTTCCTCGGTGAAAGGATCAGTGTGGATGTGGATCATCAGGTCTCCTCCGGGCAGATACTCCATGACGAAGCAGACGTGCTCGTCCGTCTGGAAACACCCGAACAGATTCACCAGGAACGGGTGACGGGAGGCGTTTATCATCTCGAAAATCCGCTTCTCGCTCATCAGGCTGAAATAAAAACACCAGAGTAGTGTAGAAAGAACAGATACACACACATTTCCTTTAAAAGCAGAGAGTTTGCTCACAGACCTGTCCACTTCATCTCGAGTCACGATCTCCTTCTTCTTCAAGGCTTTAATGGCGTAAAGTTTTCCCTTTTTCTTAAATTCAGCCAACAAAACCTGAAACACAGACACTTTCTTCACATTTCTTTACATTCTTTACATTACATTACAATATAAACTCCATAACACCAAGACTCATGTGAAATGCACAAACTCTCACCTTTCCAAAATGTCCTCTGCCCAGAACCGACACGTATCTGAAATCTTCTCTCTGCATCCTACAAACAGAACAAACGGACATGTGGAAACAAGCGGAGATTAAAGGTGCACTGTGTAACTTTTCTGGTGGATGAATCGTCAAATGCTTTTCTCCATGGAGATATTATTTCACAGTGTGGCATTAAACATTTCTATCTTCATAGAGACCAAACCAGACCAAGATACAGGTCAGATCTGTGGAGAGGCTACCCCGCTCACAGTCAGAATGTTTGTTTTTCGGAGTGTTTTTGAAATATAAAACCACCTGTAATTAAATAAATGTAAAGTAGATCTGTTTAATGTCACACTGTGGGACATTCTGGGCAGGTGACAGACCCGCCACCAGAAAAGTTAGAGCCTTTAAGTATTACGTAATATTTGATTCAGTGTGTTTTACTTCAAAGCAGTGATTGGCTGGTCTTCATTTCCTTCTGAATCGCTCAGAGACAACTATAAAACAGAAAAAAAAGAAAAACACACAAATGACACACACACACACACATAAGAATTGTTATAAAACGAACAGACTTTATTATCAGTGCGCCTCATTCATGAATATTTTTTTGAAAAATGTTCGTAACGCCTCATAAATCTTGGATCAAATGGGAACTAATTTAACAAAATATGTAACTTACAATCATGGAGGAATTAGAATTTTTAGTTGCATTATCAGAGTAATGATATTCTAAAACAGTAGAATTTTTTTGTTCTCACGAGTGCTCCTGACTGTTCGTAGGATTTGTTCTTCCAGATGAATATTTTCAGTTGGGAAAAAGTTTTGTGAATGCCAAAAATGTTCGTGAGAATGTTTCATGAACGAGGCCCAGTGTTTTCATGACATTTTCAATAATAATTCACAATCCCACCAAAAAGAAAAAAGTTAAAGGTCCTATCTTGTGCAAAATTGACTCTTGTGAGCTTTAAAGGTTGTATGGAGGATTTTTTTTTGTTTCAAGTTGTCAATGATAGATTATAGAGGTGCAGTAGCCTTGTAATTATGATGACCAAAAAAAAGAGAGTAAAAATTCATCAACTCTGGACGTGGTGGGGCTAAACATTTGCCAATAGATAACGACACTGCCTCGTTATCTGTGAGCTGACAGGCTGTCAATCAATCTCCCTACGTTTCTAGTGTAACTGACTTGCCTGCGCCGCCGGTACGTGGTTTACGTACGACTGTCACACAGTCCACAGACGCAAGACGCACAGACGCTGTTTACTCCACCAACGCAACGGTTCTTAGCGGCTTTTTTTGACCTATATCTTCCTCGCAGTTCGCACAAAGTTTGTTGCAATGGCGACAAGAATCCAGGAGCAGTTCGCAAAAGTCAAACGTGATTCTTGAAGAAGCGATGGCGCAACTGAAGCAGACGCAGGGTCTAAAGACTGACGCACTGGTCCACAAATTACTCCTGGACAGGAAAACTTCTGCTTATTATGAAAACGTACTTTATTTCCAAGAGCTAGACAAACGTTTTTCAGGACACGAAAGCGATATCCTATGTCTGAAAACGTAATTTTCAAGGCAAAGAAAGAGTCCGCTTGCTGCTGCGTGTTGTAGCTAGTTCATTCGCACTGAATCTCCGCGCACTCTTCTCTGCACCCCTTTCCTGCTCCTGTCCCCGCTGCCCGATCCACTCTTCCCCCTGCTCCTCACTTCTCCGGGCACGGAATCTCCACACACCGCTCCCCTCTCCTCTCTCCTCTCTCCTCTCCCTGCTCCGCTCTTCTCCCTGCTCCTCACTTCACGTCCGCGAACGAAATGTCCGCACACCCGCTCCCCCCGCTCCTCACTTCTCCGTCTTGCCTAACCAACACTGTAGTTAGTTGTTTACAAGTCATGTGCAGCACCGGCTGTAAACAAACCTGTTTCTGGCGTAAGGAGGAGGGAGGAGGAGGTGTTTCTACGTAGGAGCTGTAGGGGAGGGGGGTGGTTTCACGCATGCGCAACATTTGAAAAAGGACAAACAGTCGCTGGATTTCTCGTTCCTTGGAAAATCCTCTATACAACCTTTAAGTCACGTTAAGTAGAATGTTATCTCCCTAAAAACAGACCTGGAATTGTCTTAACAGAAAATTATCCTTACTGAAAAATGTAAAAGTGGGCCAGGTACAAACCCGAGGCACTCCGACTGAATATATTAAAAGTCCTTTATTTTTCGACCAGCAAGGGACGAAGGCCATCCTCAGGTGTCTCGTTTGTACCTTGCCCACTTTTACATTTTTCAGTAAGGGTAATTTTCTGTTAAGATTACAAGTTTAACCCTCGTAGACCCGTACTGCTATTTTTAACTTTTTTATAACCCGGTGAAGCGCTCTACCTCTTTTCTTCATCAGACCTGGAGTTGTGTTTGTTTCATTCACATGTTTGAGTAACTTTTTGTTATTAGTGTGTCTACATCTCCAAAGCTCAAAACGCTCTTTTCCACCTTGTGATGTCATGAAGCGGTAGTTTTCCTTTTACGTTTTGTTCAGTAGAGATCCAGCAGATCCAGAGAAAGTCCATCTTTTTTCCAGAGACTGTCAGAGTTTTGAAAAGTGCTCACTGACTTCCTGCTGAGGCTGACGCTCAATCTTCCACATATTTTACTTGTACTTAACCATTGAAACTGCTAAACTTTACTAAACTCTTCAATTTCTTTTTTTGAATATCACTTATTTATTATTGTTCTAATCTCTTTTAATCACTGAGCCTTGAGGAACATATTTCGTTCTGTCACGTGTTTCTCACACATGCTTGAATGACAAATAAAGAACCTTGACTGGCAATTCCAGAGCTGAAATCATCCAAATGATTCTAGTGAAAGTGTGTGGAGTTTCAAAACACAGTGGAGCACTTCCTTTATCACCACATGACATCACAAGGTGGAAGAACTCAGCCTTTTACTCTTTCCCCCATGAAGACGACTTTTGACTCCTCCGCTGTTTCACTAAAGACATGATTTGACGACCTTTAGAAACGACTCGGTTTTTCACATGTAAACAGAGACTGTGACAGGTCGGGGCCACTACACCCCACACTAGACTGACCAATAGGATTCAAGGATATGTTTTCGCCGAAGTTAATCGAAGTAGTGACGATGGTAGCTTCCAAAAAAAACACAACACGAAACACGTGCAATGGAAAGATCGCGGCGCTGCGGCGCACAGTTTTAGAAATAATGAGGAGTGGACGTATTTTATGGATAAGTTTAGAGAAAGTGACTTTTATTGATTTCAAAGTGATGATGAAGTTGATTATAAAGTGGAAAACAGCGATAGTGACGGACTTTCAGAGAGTGAAACTTACGAAGGGGAGAATGCCGCTGATGTGTCTGTGTGGAGTCCTGCGATATCAGAACAAACTATCTGGACTTTATACTCGATTATGAACCAAAACTGCCCTGAAATCTGGATGTTGCCCCAGGCCAGTCCTTTAAAATATTTCAGTCTTTTTTTCCAAGATGAGACGTATGACAGAATCGCTACAGAAAAAACGCTTATGCGGAGCTCTGAACATGAGAAAATAACCAAGATGACAAATACTGGACATACACTGACGAGGAAGAGTTTTATTATTATATTATAATATTATAATAAGCTAAATGAGTTGAATAAGTTAAATGGAAAAAATGAATTATGTCCACACAGGTGAACAACAGGTAAAAACAGGTGCACACTTGGCTATACTGTATCTGGTGATATGAAATTTGTTTAAATACTTTGACAAAGTATATTTTTTATTTTTTTATGAATATAGTTCTCAGAACATGCATATATCAGATGCTGAATGTAGTTTTTTGTTTTCGATTTTGCACCTGACCAGGTAAACTCTCATTTTCAGTGAGCTGTTATAAACCTGTAAATGAGTTGAATCACATTTAAACATCCATAAATGAAGAGTTCAGAGTCTAAAGGTTTCCAGAGGATACAAATATGTCTGTGTTACAATTAAGTTCATGAGTGTAAAAATCATTTATAATCACTGGTGGAAGTGTGTTTTCTTTTATGCAGTGATGCTCTAAGGGCAGAACTAGTAACATATATGTGTGGGTTGTTCCTAGTCGGCGTCCGGGGGGAAAGAGTTAATGTTATATTTCTAAATGAGTTGTACCATGTTTTCCTGGAGTTCGGAGCCGGATGAGGATTCTCGGTCCAGGCCGTTGGAGAGAGGAGGATTGTCTGAGATGCTCAAGTTAATGATCGGAGGCTCACTGAGACAAACGAGAAAGAAATTAAAAAAATTAATTCAGACATTTTCAACAGGACAGTAAAAGTAGAGATAAACAAAGACAAAGAAACTTACATACATAGACCTAGACCAGGTTTAGACCTAGGTTTAGACTACTTACGTTTACTAGACCTACTACTACCAAGTTTACTAGACTACTAGACCTTTCTGGATAGGTTTGTTTAGACCAAGTTTAGACCAGGTTTAGACCTACCTAGACAGGTTTACTAGACCAGGTTTAGACAGGTTTAGACCAGGTTTAGACCAAGTTTAGACCAGGTTTAGACCAGGTTTAGACCAGGTTTAGACCAGGTTTAGACCAGGTTTAGACCAGGTTTAGACCAGGTTTAGACCAGGTTTAGACCAAGTTTAGACCAGGTTTAGACCAAGTTTAGACCAGGTTTAGACCAAGGTTTAGACCAAGTTTAGACCAGGTTTAGAAGTTTAGGTTTTTTAGACCAGGTTTAGACCAGGTTTAGGTTTTAGACCAGGTTTAGACCAGGTTTAGACCAGGTTTAGACCAAGTTTAGACCAGGTTTAGACCAGGTTTAGACCAGGTTTAGACCAGGTTTAGACCAGGTTTAGACCAGGTTTAGACCAGGTTTAGACCAGGTTTAGACCTTAGACCAGGTTTTAGACCAGGTTTAGACCAGGTTTAGACCAGGTTTAGACCAGGCTTAGACCAAGTTTAGAGCAAGTTTAGAGCAGGTTTTGTGTATATAATTTCCAGTTTCGTCATGTTTTCATAAGCGGGGCTTTTTACACATGAGTAAGTTGTATTATCGTGCTTCTCCAGACCAAACCCGCCGCCCGTCCTCACTTTGGCAGTGCTCGGAGGGTCTGAGCGGGCGTCTCTGCGTCCGGGCGGTTGCTTGTGGAGTTTTCGGAGAAGACGTCTGGAGTGGTGGAGGTGTGGAAGGAGGAGCTGAAGGTGGAGAAGGAGCTGTACCGAGGCAGAATGCTCATCATCAGGTGTCCCCACGTCGCAAAGTTCATGTTCATCTGAGCCGCGCGAAGGAAGTTTTTACCTGAGAGTCGCAGAGAAGACTCCAAAATCATCAGAGTTTGGTGAAATCCTTTATTGCTTTGTCTGGAATGTTTCACAGTATGGCATTAAACTTTTTTATGTTCATAGAGACCAAACCAGACCAAGTTACAGGTCAGATCTGTGAAGAGGCGACCCTGCTCACAGTCAGAATTTCTGTTTTTCTAGATTCCAGACATTCCAGGCAGAGCAATGACATCTCCATGGAAACAAGCAGGTGACGGACTTCAAACCAAAAAGTTACACAGTGCACCTTTAAGTAAAAGAACCGATCAGATGTGTGACTTGGCCATACTGTGAAACATTCCAGACAAAGCAACTTATGGTTATTGCAAAACACAGCGAACTTAATCCACAAAATCCAAATGTGTTATGTAACTGTTATTTATCTTCACCACAGAACAGGTTTGTATGAATAAAAGTTCAGATATTATGAGAAATTCTAGCCCGAAATCAGTCGGTAAATACTCTTATTACATCCAATTTAAAGCCCAACCAGGGTATTGTCTTAATCAATATCAGCACCAATGCTCAATCCCACAAATGTTTCACTTGTGCCGATATTCAATAACAGTTTCAGTATCAATACATCCATAATTTCTACACCTAAATGTTTTATCTCAGTGGCGCTCTCTCCACTGCAGAAAAAAGTCTCGTACCTCGTTCTTTAGTGAAGATGCAGCGCTGTCTCCTCACTTTGGGCTGACGCTCCACAATCGTGTCCAGAAAATGAAGCTGAAAAAATCAACACAAACATTTTATTTTATTTTTTTTTTCAACTTTGTTTACTGAACATTTTTAACGTTACCACACAGAGTTCTTATTACAAAGGACACATCTGAATGTCAATCATTTTGTTGATAACTGCAGTGCAAAGCATAAGTAGCTGTAAATGTACTGTATTACATTTGAATATTGTTCAAATTCACAGCATGTAGAAAACTGGACCAGTCCCTGTCTCTCACCTGGACACGCCTCAGGCTCTGTCTCTCACCTGGACACGCCTCAGTCCCTGTCTCTCACCTGGACCGCCTCAGTCCCTGTCTCTCACCTGGACACGCCTCAGTCCCTGTCTCTCACCTGGACACGCCTCAGTCCCTGTCTCTCACCTGGACACGCCTCAGTCCCTGTCTCTCACCTGGACACGCCTCAGTCCCTGTCTCTCACCTGGACACGCCTCAGTCCCTGTCTCTCACCTGGACACGCCTCAGGCTCTGTCTCTCACCTGGACACGCCTCAGTCCCTGTCTCTCACCTGGACACGCCTCAGTCCCTGTCTCTCACCTGGACACACTGTCTCTCACCTGGACACGCCTCAGGCTCTGTCTCTCACCTGGACGTGGAGCAGTCCCTGTGGCTCCAGAGTTACAGTCTGCTGCTGTTTCTCCATCATTTCCTCCAGACGCACAAACTTGAGCGCACACATGGTCTGAGGATCCCGGCAGAACACCGCTACCTCCAGCTCACGAGACTGAAAAACATAAGAGAAACACGGTAATGCCACAGTGGAGTTTATCTCTATCCCTGGCCTTATTTTGGCATTTTAGTGCATATTTGTTAAAAATCTCCAGCTTGTGTGCTAAAACTGTCGGAAGAAAAGCTCAGAAGTAATGAGAAAACTGTCGTCTGTCCTCCTGTACAATTTATTCAAGCTGTTTATGCTTCATATGCTGTGTTCACACATAAACTTGCTACTTTATAAGCACGACAAGGATGGGATTTGAACCCACGCGTGCAGAGCACAATGGATTAGCAGTCCATCACCTTAACCACTCGGTCACCTCGTCTGCTTTTCAAAAACTTGTAATAACAACCGCTGTCTCACAGGATGTTACATTACCCCCAAAAGGATTTATCCCTTTGCCCGCTGCTTTTACAGTGCTCTTTTTGTCCGAAACCTGAAAAAGCATGTCCTTCGAGCCGGATTTGAACCAGCGACCTAAGGATTTCAATGTGGTACTCTACAGTCCTCCGCTCTACCAACTGAGCTATCGAAGGTGAGAAGACCGTGCACTGTTGCCAGGTCTCACTCAAGCAAAGAGGCAAATTCAGGTGAGTTGACCGGGCAGCCTGAGGCCTGACAAATGTGAATGTTGTGTTCTATTTCAAGAAATATAAATATTGTTTTTGGGAAACCCACAGGGGGCATCCGGATTTGAACCGAAGACCTCTTGATCTGCAGTCAAATGCTCTACCACTGAGCTATACCCCCAGTGACAGGTTCTGTCAGTTTGGCATTGGACTGAAACGGTGAATCACATGTTCTGTTGGCGATTGATTGGGAAGAGGCTTTTACGCCACACTGATACAGGACAGGAAATGAAGATGAAGAGCGAGTGGGTTCGAAGACGAAGTCCGACGGGTCAGGTTCAAACAAATATTTAGTACTTGTGTTCGGACTCAAATATCTTAATGCCTGTCAGTGTCGAGCCGGATTCGATCACTGTTCTGTCTGACGAGGGCCGGTCTTCGATGACCCGCATATCCTCACACAGCAGTGTGCGAAGGCCGGGAGGTCCCTGTAGGGAGACTTGCCGCCTAAAAGCCAGCTGGAGGATGCGGGCATCGATCCCGCTACCTCTCGCATGCTAAGCGAGCGCTCTACCATTTGAGCTAATCCCCCTCTTCTTGAAGAGCTCAGTGAGTCTGAAGGCGTCTCCTTAGATCTCCTGAGTTGACGAGAGGGGCTCTGCATGTGCTCCAAAACTGTGGCTCTGTGCCCTTGTGTCCATTCTAAAGGTCTTCGGTGGTGCACAGGAAGTGGTATAGACAAACCAAGAATTGGAAATGCACAGGTCAAGGGCGTATCCAAACAGGGGGAAGTACCAGCGTTGTTATTTGGCTGGGGTCTTGTACCCCAGAAACTTGAATCAGGAACCTGGAATTCATCAGTATCTACATGCTTCCAGATTCTCCTGGATTCGTTTTCTTTCTTTTCAGCCATTTTTTTCTTCTTTGTGCATGGGGGTGACACAGGGGCCTCATCCAGCTCTTCCATTACTTTTTTTTAAGGTGTTTTTCCCTTTTTTTTTCTTCTTCTTAGCAGATGTGCTTGTAGAGGGCATCTCCTCTTCATCCATAAATTCAGTGGAAAGGTCGCCGATCACCTCTATTTGTTTGGGCAGATAATCAGCTTCCCGAGACTTCATTTGGACGCCCATGTTCTTATCATGTTTAGGACAACTGTTTGGGACTAACGCGATCCTCATCAAAACTTTTAGCTGTTTACTAAAAATGGACCTTTACAGGTGGACCTTTGCATTGAGTGTTTTGCTTTCTTTGCCCAATTTTCTGCTCCTTCTCATGGGCATTCCTCTTGGATCCGTAGCAAATGCTCTGCCATTTGAACTGCCTGTTCCGTGTTTGCCAGACCTCAGGTAATGGATAAAGTGCACTCGGGTAAAGAGCAGCTTACACCAGCTTGTGTGCTAAAACTGTCGGAAGTAAAGCTCAGAAGTAATGAGAAAAGTGTCGTCTGTCCTCCTGTACAATTTATTCAAGCTGTCGCCTACAAAGATGTTTGGCTGTTCATGCTTTATATGCTGTGTTCACATACAAACTTGCTACTTTATAAGCACGACGAGGATGGGATTTGAACCCACGCGTGCAGAGCACAATGGATTAGCAGTCCATCACCTTAACCACTCGGTCACCTCGTCTGCTTTTCAAAAACTTGTAATAACAACTGCTGTCTCACAGGATGTTACATTACCCCCAAATGGATTTATCCCTTTGCCTGCTGCTTTTACAGTGCTCTTTTTGTCCGAAACCTGAAAAAGCATGTCCTTCGAGCCGGATTTGAACCAGCGACCTAAGGATTTCAATGTGGTACTCTACAGTCCTCCGCTCTACCAACTGAGCTATCGAAGGTGAGAAGACCGTGCACTGTTGCCAGGTCTCACTCAAGCAAAGAGGCAAATTCAGGTGAGTTGACCTCGCAGTCTGAGTCCTGACAAATGTGAATGTTGTATTCTATTTCAAGAAATATAAACATTGTTTTGGGAAACCCACAGGGGCATCCGGATTTGAACCGAAGACCTCTTGATCTGCAGTCAAATGCTCTACCACTGAGCTATACCCCAGTGACAGGTTCTGTCATTTTTGGCATTGGACTGAAACGGTGAATCACGTGTTCTGTTGGCGATTGATTGGGAAGAGGCTTTTTACGCCACACTGATACAGGACATGTGTCGATGTCTGAGGTCGAGGTCGTTCACATTTCCAGTTAAATGTGACTTGTATGTGACTCCAGTGTGAACATTAAACGGCCCAAAAGTGTCCCACATGTGACACTGGAGACACGACGACGTCAACCGCAGCGAGCGTCTCTGTGTTTACAGAAGTTGTCCAAACATGGACGCAGCATCGAGCACCTGGAGATTTTAAAGTTCCTCTCGTACCGGAGCCAGAACATGAACAACTTACTTGTTTTAAGGAGGAGATTGAGAAGGACGAGGTTTTTGGTCGTGGTGTTTTGTGGGGCAGCAGCAGCGACGTCCATTGAAAGGAACGTGTGGATGTGGAGACGGTAGCCAGAGTGATGAGTGGAGATGTGCTTCACTTCAGTGACACGGAGTTCATTAACAATTTTCACCTACTTTCACCTACAGCGCAGAATAGTGACGTTTGTCTCTTGTTGATAACGTGTAGGTGGATGAATGCACTTTGGCCGTTCAGACTGAAGTCACATGTCAAAATATCAGATATGTATCGGTTTCAGGAGCACATATCCAAGTGTCCTGGGTCGCATTTTAAAAAATCTGATCTGTGTGGTTCAGACTGTCATTAAAAGATCGGATACAGGAACATAGGGGCTAAAAAATCGGATTTGGGTCACTTCAGGCTGCAGTCTGAACGTAGCCTATGTGCCCTTATGTGACTTTTATCAGACGCTTCAACACTGAACATAAAAAAAACAACAAAAAAAACAGGTGCTCTCTGTTTCTCACCCGCTGCAGCTGTAAACAGAAGCTCTGGTCCCAGGCGAGCTTCCCCACTGTGCCCCACTTGGTTCGGCCCGTCACTCTGCCGTCCAGACGCAGCACCGCACCCACCTCCGGGGCTGGAAAAACACAAATTAAAAGTGCGACAGGTTTTGACAATTCTCTAATTTCTGTTTTAAGGTGCAGTGTTTAACTTTTCTGGTGGAGGCTCCTTCAAATGTTTTTCCCCATTTAAACGTTATTGCTTTGTCAGAAATGTTCCACAGTCTGGCATTAAAACTTTCTATCTTCACTGAGACCAAACCAGACCAAGTTAGAGGTCAGATCTGTGGAGAGGCGACCCCACTCACAGTCAGAATCTCTGCTTTTTCTAGTATTTTTGAGCTGTAAAACCACCTGTAATTTAATAAATGTAAAGTAGAGCTGTTTAAAGTCACACTGTGGAACATTCCAGGCTTAGCAATGACATCTCCATGGAAACAAGAAGGTGACGGGCCCCAAATCGAAAAGTTACGTGATGCATCTTTAAGTTGGCGGGCCACTACAAACCAACAACTCTTTGATTTTGTTTTTAAAAATGACAACACAATTACTCAAACAAAATATGAGGACTTAAAGATCGTTGACTGCGAGTTCATCACGTCTTGTTTCTATGGAGACGTCATTGCTCTGTCTGGAATGTTCCACAGTGTGACTTTAAACGCTTCTACTTTACATTTATTCAGTTACAGGTGGTTTTAAAGCTCAAAAATAGCTGCAAAAACAGACATTCTGACCGTGAGCGGGGTCGCCTCTCCGCCGATCAGACCTGTAACAGAAAAGTGTGGCAGAATAAATTTTGCACAGTGAAATGGTAAAATGCTGTAGTGATCGGCGTGAGACAGTGAGCGGACTGACCAGTTGTGGCGCCGTTCTGGGGACTTGTTTGCTGAAGCGAGGTTAAGGCGGGCTCCAGTAAATCCTCACAGCCGAGCAGCGTCACTTCAAGTTTACCTGCACGGACACAGACAAACGGTTTATTTTTTTAAATTTAATGTTATGCAAGATGGAACTACGTGTAGCCAATTCATTTATTAATTAGGTTTTTGTCATGGTTCATGTTTTGGTCATTGTTTTTTTAGTGTAGTGTGCCCTTGGCGTTTTGGATTCTGCATCTGTCTCAGCGTGACAGATGGAGAACCCAAAATGCAGGAAAATGCAGGTTAAAGTTCTTTAATAACAAACAAAGAATGACCAAAAATCTAAACTGCCCTGACGTGACGAGACACTGACGATGACAACGGACCAACAAAAGGAGAGCACAGAGTAAAAACGCAAAACTACAAGCAGACTAAACAAATGTCAAAACAAAACACCAAGGGCACACAACACTAAAGGATTAAGACACAACAAAATATGCAAAAACAATGAAGACAAAACATGAACCTGTGACAGTTTTGGAACGTTCAGATTTTCCCTTTCATGTTGTAAAAAACAAAACTGATGTAAAATTATATTAAAATTGTGTTTTTTAAATGAAAGGTATGTAAGTAATTTGATTTTAAATTTCATAAACTAAGTCTCCAGAAATTAGGTATAAATTATAAAGCAGGTCTAAACCTAGATTAAACCAGGTCTAAACCCAGTCTAAAGCAGGTCTAAACCTAGATTAAACCAGGTCTAAACCCAGTCTAAAGCAGGTCTAAACCTAGATTAAACCAGGTCTAAACCCAGTCTAAAGCAGGTCTAAACCTGGACTAAATCATCACACATAAACAGTAAAAGAGTTAGTATTTGTAAAGCTGAGTGGCTGAGTGTTATTGTCCTTGAGCGGGGACCTCCACATTTGTCCCTGTTACATCACAGGACGTTTGTGTCTGATTCTGTTTTGGTCAGACTCTCCAAAAACACAGATTACACCGGGATTATGGTCAGCGTATGCTCCGCTCACACTCCATACAGAATCATCAGGAATATCTGAGTATTTAGTGTCTGTGTCAGAGCTGGTGCGAGGCCACGAAGAAAATCATAAAGTTCCATCAGAAAAAAGAAAAGTCTATATAAAAGTAACACCACTGGATAATAAAAGGAAAGGAAAGAATCATGTGGGTAAACAGAACTAAGCAAGAACTGAACCACATATAAACCAAGTCTAAACCAAGTTTAAAAGCCATGTCTAAACCCAGCCTAAACCTGGACTAATCCAGGTCTTAACCTGGTCTAAACCCAGGTCTAAACTAGGTCTAAAGTAGGACTAAACCAAGTTTACAAGCCATGTCTAAACCTGGCGTAAACCAGGTCTAAACCAGGTTTAAACCAGGTCTAAAGCAGGTCCAAACCTGGACTAAACTAAACCAGGTCTAAACCAGGTTTAAAACAGGTCTAAACCAAGATTAAAATCAGGTCTAACCCAGCTCCAGGCCAGATTTAAACTACGTGCAGAGTAGTCCAAGTCTAGACCAGGTCCAAACCAGGTCTAAACCATACCTAAACAATGATCGATAGATAGATACACTTTATTGATCTCAAAAGAAATTCATAAACCAGGTCTAAACCAGTTCTAAACTGAGTCTAAACCAGGTCTAAACCAGGTCTAAACTGAGTCTAAACCAGGTCTAAACCAGGTCTAAACCAGGTCTAAACTGAGTCTAAACCAGGTCTAAACCAGGTCTAAACTGAGTCTAAACCAGGTCTAAACCAGGTCTAAACCAGGTCTAAACCAGGTCTAAACCAGGTCTAAACTGAGTCTAAACCAGGTCTAAACCAGCCCAACACCGTCACCTGTGAGAGCGGCAGGTCTGATGGAGTGGTTGGAGGAGGAGGTGGACAGGGGAGCTTCAGGTTTGTTTTCGTTTGTTTCCTTTAAAGACTCGTTTTCCTTCAGATACTTCTCCAGCGACAGACGCAGCAGATCCAACTTTTGAGACGACTCGTGCAGCCGGATCTCCGCCTGACCAGGAAAACACAAACAAGTCACACATGTTTTAGAATGAGAATGTATTGATTTTATTAAAAACACAAAGGAAATAGGGATTAAATCAGTGTCTGACCAGGACTACACCAAGAACCAGGTCAAAATCAGGACTACAAAAGGCATTAAACCCAGAATAAAAAGGGACTAAACCTGGACAAATAAAAATACGAGACGAAAACCAATGCAATTATTAAAGGACCCATATTAGGCTATTTCCTGATCTATGTTCTAATGTTGTTTCCTCGTCACAAACAGACCTGGAGTCGTGTTTTGTTTCATTCACACCCTGCAGATTTAGGCTGAGCTCTTCTCTCAAACAGAAAACACTGTTCCACCTTGTGATCAGAGTGTGGAAACCCGACCGAGCCCATCACGACCCGTCTTAAACGAGTTGAATCTTATGAGACTTAATGGCTGCAGTGGGATCTGTCTGCGGACCAAAGGATATAAAACTGTGAGTGAGATCGCGTCAGCTGTTTCCTGTCTACAGTAAAACCACTCGCTCTGAGACTCTTCAGTGTTCAAAACATCAGACTCTGCACTTCTAGTTTAGATACAAGTCAAAACTGTGATATTATTTGTGAAATGTGGCGCAAAACTTCAAATACATGATTTTTAAAGCGTAAAAGATTGGAGGTAAAGTTCACAGGAAGCAGAGTCACTGTTGTAAATCTGCAGCTTCACCTCGATCTGTGAGCTGTGTGGATGTAAACAGACACACGTGAGGAAATACTCCCACTAGTGTCGTAGTACTTGAGACCGACCTCGACTCGAGACTGACCTCGACCTCGACGACCTCGCCTCGAGACCGACCTCGCCTCGAGACCGACCTCGCCTCGAGACCGACCTCGCCTCGAGACCGACCTCGCCTCGAGACCGAAGTCGCCTCGAGACCGACCTCGCCTCGAGGACCGACCTCGTCGCCTCGAGACCGACCTCGCCTCGAGACCGACCTCGCCTCGAGACCGACCTCGCCTCGAGACCGACCTCGCCTCGAGACCGACCTCGCCTCGAGACCGACCTCGCCTCGAGACCGACCTCGCCTCGAGACCGACCTCGCCTCGAGACCGAAGTCGCCTCGAGACCGACCTCGCCTCGAGACCGACCTCGCCTCGAGACCGACCTCGCCTCGAGACCGACCTCGACTCGAGACCGTTTTTTTATGATCTTGGTCTCGTCTTGGACTCGAGAATATTTGGAATCAGTCTTGTCTCAGTCTTGAAGGAGTTTGGACTTGGTCTTGTCTCGGACTCGAAGAGTGCGATCATATTTCATTATGGCCGCTGCTGTCGCAATAAACTTCTTACCGCGACATGTGGCTCAAGTTTACCTAATAAAAGTGCACAAATGCATCTGTGTTTGTCACATGTGCGTTTGGTAAATGTGCAGAGGACAAATCCCACCGCAAAACCAGTAAGAAAAGGGTTTAAAAATCCTACACACTTTATTCATTTCCTTCACAGTTTTGTGTAAAATGCCAGTGGAAGTTCTCTTAAAAACGGGGTTTTCAAACTGTGGGTGAGGGTCCAAAAAGAGGCACAGCACAGACCAATTTGTTTGGATTATTTTAAACCTAAATGAACATTAATCAAATAAAATGGCAATAAATTTATAAAAACATTGATATATATGTGCCAAAAATAACTATAAAATACAAATAAATGTAGGAAATGACAAAGATGACGAAACCAGGTCTAAACCAGGTCTAAAAGCCATGTCTAAACCCGGCCTAAAGCAAGTCTATACCAAACCAGGTCCAGACCAGTTCTAAAGTAGATCTAAACCAGGTCTGAAACAGATCTAAACTAGTTCCAAACCAGGTCTAAACTAGGTCTAATTCAGGTCTAAAATAGGTCTAAAAAGAGGTCTAAATCAGGTCTAAACTAGTTCCAAACCAGGTCTAAACTAGGTCTATACCAAACCAGGTCTAAACCAGTTCTAAGCCAAGTCTAAACCAGGTCTAAACCAGGTCTATACCAGTTCTAAACCAGGTCTAAACCAGTTCAAACCAGGTCTAAACCAGGTCTATACCAAACCAAGTCTAAACCAAGTCGATACCAAACCAGGTCCAGATCAGTTCTAAACCAGTCCTAAAACAGGTCTAAAACAGGTCTAAACTAATTCTAAACCAGTTCTAAACCAGGTCAAACCATAAACATGTAAATCTGTCATGTGTATCTGTGTTATAAAGCTTCCGTACCTCCTGCAGAGCATTGTGGTCCAGCGCTGCGATGCCCTGCAGTTGTCGGACCAGGTCTTTGGCCAGAGTCAGAGCGTCCGTCTCTCTCTGGATGTAGTGACGCAGTTCGGCCACACGGGGGTCCACGGGGCCCCGCTCCCCCTCGCACACAC